AGAATATCATGGAAAAGTTTATTTATTTCCATAATTCCATTCAAAAAGTTAAACTTTCACAGATTATAGATTCAGGGCCCACAATTTAAACAACCTCAAGTATTTGTTTATTTTTACATCATTTGGGCTTCCAGCTCATGAAACCCTCATTGGTAAAAGAATGTTAGAGATGGAGCTACCAGGTAGGAGACAAAGAGGAGATACACTATATTACCAAAAGTATTGGCTCACCTGCCTTGACTCATACTATGAACTGAAGTGCCATCCCATTCCTAACCCAGAGTTCAATATGATGTCGGTCCACCTTTTGCAGCTATTACAGCTTCAACTCTTCTGGGAAGACTGTCCACAAGGTTGAGGAGAGTGTTTATAGGAATTTTTGACCATTCTTCCAAAAGCGCATTGGTGAGGTCACACACTGATGTTGGTCGAGAAGGCCTGGCTCTCAGTCTCCGCTCTAATTCATCCCAAAGGTGTTCTATCGGGTTCAGGTCAGGACTCTGTGCAGGCCAGTCAAGTTCATCCACACCAGACTCTGTCATCCATGTCTTTATGGACCTTGCTTTGTGCACTGGTGCACAGTCATGTTGGAAGAGGAAGGGGCCTGCTCCAAACTGTTCCCACAAGGTTGGGAGCATGGAATTGTCCGAAATGTTTTGGTATCCTGAAGCATTCAAAGTTCCTTTCACTGGAACTAAGGGGCCAAGCCCAGCTCCTGAAAAACAACCCCACACCATAATTCCTCCTCCACCAAATTTCACAGTCGGCACAATGCAGTCTGAAATGTACCGTTCTCCTGGCAACCTCCAAACCCAGACTCGTCCATCAGATTGCCAGATGGAAAAGCGTGATTCATCACTCCAGAGAACGCGTCTCCACTGCTCTAGAGGTCAGTGGTGGCGTGCTTTACACCATTGCATCTGACGCTTTGCATTGCACTTGGTGATGTGTGGCTTGGCTGCAGCTGCTCGGCCATGGAAACCCATTCCATGAAGCTCTCTGCGTACTGTACTTGGGCTAATCTGAAGGTCACATGAAGTTTGTAGCTCTGTAGCAATTGACTGTGCAGAAAGTCGGTGACCTCTTTGCACTTTATACACCTGTGGCCAGGCCAAGGGATTAGGACACCTGATTCTGATCATTTGAATGGGTGAGCAAATACTTTTGGTAATATAGTGTATATATACATATACGTTGTCGTTCAACCCGGAGAACATCACTTCTCTGGGAGGAACGGGTCCAACATAGAATTTGTAAAAAGCATCAAAACTTAAGACGCAGATCTATTACAAATGTTAAGGTAAATGTAATTACTAGAATGTGTTTTTGATTTGTTTTTGTGTACATTTAAAATGTGAATAAACATAAATGATGACGTTTCAATCACCATGGTTACCATGGTTACACAACTAATATTTTCGTTACATTACAAAACAGTATAAATATATCAGTAATTTTTATGGCAATTTATATAATAATAATAACAATAATCGTATTATTGTTATTATTAAAACTGACCAAATCTCTGTCGAGCGCCAGTTAAGGCATAGTTAAGGTATTTTACGGTACGATAAACGATAATTATTGTTATTGTTATTATAATTCCAATCAAGTCCTTGCGGTTGTTGTTACGGTGTCGTTGTTGTTGTTGTTACATTGACGTCTGGAAACCACCTTGAATTTTGGCACCGACAGATCAGTGTCGCTGTTTCTCCTCCACAGGCGGTTGACGCGAGGATCTCTGACAACATCCACAGGAAACATACCTAAGTCCTCCACCTGTTGGCCGTCAACAACACTGCAGTCAGCGGCTCCCGGTCCAACAAGTGGGTCTTAAATTTTTTTTTTTTTTTAACTCGCCTACGTGTACCGTTAAAAATCGCGTTTAAAATCGTCTCACCGGTATGTTGAAGCGCTCTCCGTCGTAGCGGTAGACTTTGTACAGTCCTCTGGTCAGAGCCGGGTCGATGATCAACTTGCAGCTTCTCCAGTGCTGGGGCGGTATCTGTCTTTCACATGTTAGTTTGTCGCTTTCCATCACATTAGTCAAAGCCTGGCGACATGATGACAAAACGATCGACCGAACAAATAAAACAAAACATCGTTAGATCGCTTCCTGCCGGCTGAATCCGCCCCGGCAGGTGATGACGGCGGTGATGGAGAGAGCATCATCTGAGACGAAGTCGCTTTAGTTAAAAAACAAAACAAAAACAAACCGTTTTAAAACAAGGCGTCGATACAAAGTGGTTCTAGATCAACTGCGTACGAAACTGAGCTACTTACCTGCAACGGTTTATTCTTTCCTGGAACAACATTGTTGTAAAAGCTGATGTAATTTTCGCAGTCATCGCCCAGGTCGGATAATGGATTCATCCGCCAGGATGCGAGGATGGAAAAAAAAAATAGAGCCGGGGGA